TTTTCTAGGGAACATAGTTCAGCATAAGGTGACTCCACATGATAATATCAGATTCCACCTTTCACTTTCATCTATCCGTCTCTCCTGAAGCCCCATAAAGTCACGGCTAGTCTATTGCATAATATCGTGGATGTCCATTAGGGCAGCCTAGGGTGGACCCTGCCTGTGTGGTTCGTTCTGAATGCTGCAGTATGTGACAATGTTATATATATATAAATATATATATATATATATATATATATATATATCATTTCTGAGCCTGTTACAGCACTTTCCACCACTAGAACCGAGGGCTAGTATTACACTGCTTGTGGTTTTGAGGAATATTCAAGGCCGCTTATCGATTCCCGCCTGTCGAACATCACATTAAACGACCTAGTTAACGACCACATTTGACGTTAGGTGTTGATACACTCAGTGTGCTACTCTTGGCAGTCTTTTCAATCCATGGTGCGCCCTGAAATGCCAAATAATTTATGCGGTAGCCTAGAAACACCTATTAGACAATTTTATGTTGACCAGCATTCAAGCGGGGAACAAATGAATCAAGTAAGATAGAGAACAACAAGGAATGTTAAGCTAAAACATATCTTTGCATATTTCGTATGTAGTTTGGGTTCTAATCTCTGAGAGACAGAAGAATGGTTTAAAAGAAAGGGATACACTACTTTTTTGGGTCTCACTACCACGCTATCTAGACTTACTGTATATTGAAAGGGTTCTTCAGCCGACTACATCCACTATGGAAAATCTTCTCTCCCGCCTTCTCTCCCAAGGTCAGTCATCTGAATTCTAATGTTATAAGGGATAGGAGCAGTTGCATTCGATATTGACCAGCTGGGCTAGTTATGAGCACAGGAATCCTTATGACATCTACCGATGCAATACTAAGGTGATGCGTACAGTAGACATGGTCACTCCTTTGGGGCAGTTAGCTGACTGTTTTGAGTTGATATGCTGAATGACGAGTTGATCAACACAAAGGTTTTTATGTTTAAAACCTGGACTGACACTTAACGTCATGCGCTGAATTCGGCACCTTGGGCAAAATTGCCCTACGCTGTTCATTGTTTTAACCGCCCTTCGTCCGTGGGCGGTAACAGTTTGAAACAGTGTTCTCCTTTGGGATCGATTTACGTAAACAATACAGTATTTGAAAACCAAGCGAAATTGCAAGGAAATAGATAACAGAGGATAGTTCATCATCCACTTGATTGAAATTCAGATCTTCTCAAGGCGTGTGCAACGACTAATGCACTCATCTGTATACCAATTTGGTCGAATAGTTTTCAGCTCCCTTATGAGTAGTGTATTACGTATATAAAGTGTGGAATGCCTTCTGTGTTTCCTTATCATCGATTAAGGTACTTCGGCTTCCTCACTTTTTAGTTGGTTTAATTTCTACAGGTTTAATGTCTGGCCATTTATTAAATTTAACATACTAAAAGAGTGATCCCATAGGAAACTACTCATAAGGTTGCTGAAAACTACTCGACAGCTCACGGCTGGTTTTACCCTTCTGCAGGTTCATCAGATAGATCCGATCATTGAGTACACGTTAGCTTTGTGTTCTACTTGAATTGGACGGAAGTGACGAGACACAATCACTTTCACACCGAACTTCAGCTGTTCATGATATTCTACAACTGAATGTGCCGCACAAACGAGTTCACGATTGACATCGCCTTCGACGAGCTACCAGTGTCCGGGTGAATCAGCACCCACCTGATCAACAACCAAGTGTCGCACAAATTCCGTCTCATGTCTGAGGAACCCAGGAAGTGCCAAATCGGTCGTAAAGTGTCGGAAAGATTTTGGTAACATTTTGAACAGTTTCCATCAAGAAACTATACCGTGATATCTAGCGTATCGTGCCAACTGAAAGAGGAGACGGTCTTTGTGCAGCATATTCAGTTGAAAGCTGAATTCAGCTGGGGTCCAGTTGAGTATCTTGTTAAATCCGAACTGGTCTGTAGATGATTGCATTTCGCGGGTGATCAAAGTGTTTTCTGATTGTATATTCCCTCACATTTATTTTCATAACCATGCTGAACCAAGTATTCCTCAGTTTCTCCGGCAAAATATTTAAAATTGGTTGCTTTTACTCAGGTAACAAAGCATAGCAACTCAAGCATAGTTTCCAGCTTCAGCTATGTCATCAGGGGTTTGAGCTTTAAAGTAAAAACTCGATGAAACCATTGTTCAGTTTTGAGTTTGGTTATCTCCGTTTCCGGGGACTACACCTACCTGATGTGCCACAGACAGGATGAAAGTAATACTTGGCTACCCGAAGATTTTGAGCAACGATCTCATCCCACTTAATCCAAAAGCAAAAAACCCCGCTGAATATCCACCAACGGTTTCAGAAGACGTCATTTTATCGGTAGTTTGAGAACTATGTGATGTTGAAGGCCTTTGCAGCTTGGTGGTTGTATTCCCATCAAGATCGTGTTAGAGGCCCCATTACTCCACAACAAACAGCGTCGCATATCCTAGGTCTCACCAGGTCGTCTGAGGAAATCGCGTTGTCCAGATTCAAACGGGGTTAGTAGGACGCAGCTAAATCACTAAATTTAAACAGAGTAGCACCTTCGAACTTGAGAGTGTCTTTACCATGCTATTTATCCTGACCAAACACAAAGTCTGTTTCTTCTCTATTCAGCTTGTGTTTACCACGGATTCTAGTTATCTAGGGATAATACATAGGAGTGGCTCAATTCAGGTTATGGAATTCAATTTAACCGGAAAAGTATCCGTTTTTCTTTCGATATCGTGTTTTTGGCGGGCATAAATGAGCATGACCTGTGATGTGGTAAAGCATAAATGACAGCCAGATTGACTTGAGCAGGTTTAGTTTTTAGAGGGAGGCATGTGGCACCAAAGCCAGACGGACAACCCACAAAAGTTATTTGAAGCTAAACTGCATGGATCAATTGGATTTTACAACCATTCATCTGCTGTGAATTCTCTGGGGATTATAGGATGTATATATGTAGATTGGCATTTCGTACACCGGAGTTATGATGGTTCACTGACAGATTCAACAGTTTAGATTACATCCCAGAAAAACGAAGGCTTTCAAGAAGTAATTTTACCACAGTTTTGAGGAAATTTCGTCTTCGATGAAACAGGCGATTTTTTGTAGAACGGTAATGCTTTCGTTCAGATTACATAGTATCGGAGACTGCCGTCCAAAAACAATGAATCTGCCGGAACGCGGTGACCAAGACTGAACAGGACAGCACCACCCAAGTCAAGACATCAGCCCGAAAGAGCAGCCAGATGGCGCAAGCAGGCGCTGTGAATCAGCCAATGGGCGGATCGATAGCAGGTAGAAATTATTTGTGAACGTTTTATACTACTGATAAAGTGTTACCAGGAATGCTAGAACTAAACAACCTTTTGTTGATATAAATCAAATTATATTTGAAATTTTAATGTAATGGCTGGAGAAATTAATGAAAAAATGAGTTACTCATGGAGTAAAACAGATGCAATTTTTTACACAAATATCGACCAACCAGACACGCGCATATCGAACGGCCATAATGAAACTGGTCTCACTGGCATTATTGACCGCAACAAGTCGATAAGTTCGATCGCTCTCCGCTCCCGCACGCTTAGCGTTGTTCGCACCCCAGTTCTGCTACTGTGTTTGGAGCGTGGTTTATCTGGGAACTTAAATGACTGACAGCTCCTTATTATCTATATTTAGTGGATTATCTGCACCTGACGAATCCAATCTGAACTTATCTTTCAAGGACTCTGTGGACCCACAACTTTACGGATTAAATGGATCTGAACGCGATTCAACGGCACCCCATTACACAAGGTCGATACTGAACTCTTCGGCTTCTGGAAAGATGATGTCAGGCGATCCTTCAAACAGCTTGTCAGCCAGTTCTGGCTGTGGAACTGTTGCAATGGCTGCCGTGCCTATAAGCGCACTGGCGCCCAGCAAAATCAACTTCCCCTTGGGTGACCTAGAAAATATTCCTATCTTCAACTCCGGAGATGGAGCTGCTCTCGAGTTGCAGGCTCTCCAGGGCAACGCACAAGCCCTCCAAGGAATTCAAACAGTCAAGCTGACGCTCATCAACTGTGGGGACCAGCAGACCATCCTTCTTACCACCCCATCCACCCATTTCACAATGCCGGATCAAAATCTAGATGGAGTTACCCTCACTCTTCCCGATAATTTACTGGCAACTGATTTTAATCTCACTGGGCTACAGTCATTCCAACTTGGTGACCTGCCCGTGATGTCCGATAAGTGTGGCGTCCCTGATAATGCTAAACTCACCTACTCTAATATGACATCCCTGCCCCCCATTTCCTCAGTTTCTGACAAACTTTACAATCAACTCACGGAGGATTCAGACTCCGTTCAGCCTTCACATGGCTATGCCATTGAAGACCTTAAACCGGTGTTGCAACGAAACGGGGAGAAGTTGCATGATGACAATGGAAGTGAGTTACCCTTCTTGATCTAACTTGCCACTTAGATTATTCCCTTAGTGACCCTACTTCTGTTGCGCTCACTTCTCCCGTGGCATCTCTGCCTCAAACGACTTTTGCGCAGAATATTCCTCCGAAACCGGGTAAATTAATGGATTCAGGTAACCATTGGTTTTACAGTAACCTCACTGTGTACAGTTGATGAGTCTTCACTACCAAGGCAGGACAACACAGATGCAGATGCAAATGATCCGTCATGCCCAGACGACATGACCGAACTTAACACCAAGGTAATACTTGAAACCCGTGTCACTTATGTTGTTCCTCCTAGGATTTAGCTCAGCGAATAAGTGCTGAACTTAAGCGCTACACAATACCGCAAGCCGTGTTTGCCCAGCGCGTGCTTTGCCGTAGTCAGGGTACTCTTTCGGATCTGCTTCGTAACCCTAAACCCTGGAGTAAGCTTAAATCTGGCCGTGAGACATTCCGCCGCATGTGGAACTGGTTAAACGAGCCGGAATTCCAAAGGATGTCTGCCCTTCGCCTAGCAAGTAGGTGTCTTTATTTCACTAACCCTCCCTTTAGCATGCAAGCGGAAAACGGAGGAGAACCAGAAACCCATCGAGGAACGTTCAACAAAAAAGCCGCGCCTGGTTTTCACGGATATTCAGAGGCGCACTCTGCACGCCATCTTCAAGGAAACGAAAAGACCTAGCAAAGAGATGCAAGCCACCATTGCTCAGCAGCTAAATTTGGAAGTTTCTACCGTTGCAAACTTCTTCATGAATGCTCGCCGCCGTTCTTTGGATAAGTGGGTGGACGATAAGGACGTACAACATACAGTGTCTACATCGTCGCCGGCCACTAGTATTGAAACATCACCCCCGAATCACACGACTCACGTTTCCTCTCATCTAGGTGACCACTGCTCGCTACAGCCGGTTCATGCTGCTTTACCCACTTCCCAAATGTCGGAAGTATCAGATTCTATCCTTCATCGGATACCTGGCTGTCACACTGGTGTTCCGACATCTTTGGAGTTGCCATCTTCCCCCGCACCACCTCGCCTCACCCCTGATCCAACTGTTTCTTTCAGTCATGCAGATGTAGACCTTAACACACTATGTGCCGTTAGTGAAAACGAACATACGTCACTGTCAAACGGCCTCCTGCTCTCCGGTGATTCTGCTGCACTCCAAACACAACTACTTGGTCATGTCCTCGTTGGTGGACAAAACGCCATGTTGCTTTCTCACAATCTGAGTCCCACTTCGGACAAAGCTCTCACCCAGCCAATGTCTGCTCCAGGGCTTACTTGCATGGCTTCGAATCTATCCAGCATCAAATCGGCTCTTGATTCGCTTTCGGATCCACCTACCCTGTCTCCAGCTCATCCACACCATCTAACACGAGTCTCGATGGATTCACTGCGTGATACACACTCACTTCAACACAGTATGACGGTGGGTTCTGTACCAGATGCGGTGTGTACTGCCAATCACGTTTTGCCTTCAGCCGCAACACTAATCGGTCATGATCGACTTGGCCTTGATAGTGTTGGTCACATGTCCGGCTCCACTGTTTTGACTTCATCACTGGGCTCCTCAGTTCCGATACACCCGAAACAAGAAGATCTAGGTTCGGGACTTCTGGGTGGCACCAGCGCACTCAACTAGGGGTGGCTCATTGGAAGTTCCGATGCCACCAGTCTGTCACTTATGTGTGTACTTTGTGTGTCAGTTAACGGTGCACACTGTGGCGTTGTCCTTTTCTGATCATGGGTGTGATTACAAATTGTTTAACCTTTCTTGTCTTGTTATTTGTGTGAACATTATTTCAGTGATTTGTGCCCCGTTTCGGAGGTATGGCCTATTGATTTTTTTGGACTGGAAGTCTCGCTTCCTTCAAGGTGCAATATCCTTCCATCGGTAGTTCTGACTATCGCCACTCCCTGTACAAAATCGGTTTGCTAGTTGCTCTTTTTTCCAAATCATGTATGCCTCGGTTTCGCAACCTCCCATTTGGTTGGCGCTGTGTTCATGCCTCATATTGTATCATGCTGCATTTACTGCTGGCATCCAACCCATGTGTTTGATCAACTTTTTCTATCCTACCGACCTTTTCGCTCCGCTTCCTCCATTTCAGTTGTGCCTGTCTGGGTTTGCTGGGCGGTTATCAGTAGACCTATGTTTTTCGACGCACTATAGACGCTTGTTTCTTGCACGATTAGGGTGTGCTTGTACAACGTGATCCTTCCTTGTTTACGGTGACCCCTGTCCGATGAAACCTCATTTCTTCGACATCTTTGCTTCCCTCAAAAAACTTTGTTACCTCTTGCCAATAATAAATCCGTATATTTCATGGGTTTGTTCGCCTCCATGCGTCACTCCTGGGTTCCACTCGAAGGCACAGTTGTGCGCATAGGTGTCATTAATTCTACAGGAACCAGCAATCATTCTCACGGCTCATGTTTAGACGTGCATAAAGGCATCTGCCAATCGGTGTCTTAGTTTTGGTCCAGTCGGCTTAATATAGGGACAGCAAATTTATCGTGCCCATCGTGGCTTTGCTCAAGGCAGATGGTGCATTAGCTGGTTCTTTGAGCGCTGAAAGCGTAACGTTCTATGGTGCAAGGACAAGTACATTCATCCGTATTTTCGTTCCTTTGTCCCAAGCTCCAGGCAATCTATTATCCAAGTATGAAATCGAGTTGGCCACTGTGCTCGAGGTTGGTCTAAAGTAGTATTTAGGAGCGAAATAACCACCAATCAGATCAGAATGGGTTTGCGGCTCAACTGTCTAGTAAGCTGAGAGTGACGGTGGCTTTTCGGCTTGCAGATCGCGGCTAAACCATCATTGCCATGACTAGTTAGCGTCTCTGGGGAACTGCGAGGCGGTGCTGTAGATATGAATCCTAAACCTGGCGGCGGACTTGTCAGAGGGGGTATTCCGCGGGTCGTGTTTGTTGCTTGGGACCAGTCTTCTACTCGTCGCAACACTGCGTGGAGTCATCCTAGGTTTCGCTCAGTGGTACGGTTGGATTCCTAACTTTCCGCTTCGTTCGCTAATTCAGGAGGATCCGTGGACGACAACTAGGATGAACATAGCCCCGCGTTGGAACACAAACCTTACATACTGTAGGTAAGTCACCATGTGATCGTCTTCTTGTCCGTATTTTTGCTAATTCTAACCACTTCTTTATCCTGGATATATAGACTGCTGAGATTTTTCAGATTACTTATCCGGTGACAGCGCTAACTGTTGGACGGTTTCGGAGCACCAACTCGCAGCGCGTCAGTTTGCAAGGGACTAGTTGTATGCACGGCAAGAGACAGCTCTGTTGGTCACAGAATTCTCGTTCCTCGATGTGCGAAGAGTCCGTGGTCAACGGAACTAATGAGAACCTTCATAATTCTGAGATGGTTCAGTCGGTAATCTCAGCTATGATGAAGAATGGCATGGTTGGCACTGACTGATTCCGAATCATCTCTATGCCCCATAGAACACTTCTTACATATGGCAATTTTTGCCGACAGTGGCCAAGTGAGTGGTCTTGTTTGGCTATTTAGTGGATGATCCGTTTATGCATTTATTTTGATTTTGTGTTAATAATAAATGACTTTTTGAAACTCTGTCAGGTCGATGTGGCTATCCCCCTATCGAATTGCGTGGCACTTTATTTGACGAACCCGACAAATCCTTGGGTGTCGCCGACGGAATACCTGGCAGTTGTGTTGCCGATGTCACGTGACCAAGGGCTCATATTTCGTCAAGCCACTGACTACCTTCCACTTGGAAGCAAATTGCGCCGACAGGTCACAATAGGTGACACCCATTTCCAGTACGCGTTTACTAATATCCTCAGTTTCGGAACTACATATCGACCAACGATTCTCCAAAACATCCAACCAACAGCCAGTTGTCTCCCGTACGACCCACCCGGTCCCTTCGGTGCCCTAATCGAGGCGTCTCACGTATCTGTAGATGTAAGTTTTCTCATTTAAAGTGAAATACTGAGACGAACGCTGGAGGGTCTCCAAAATTCTAGTGTTCAAATAGCTTGTGACGAAAACCTTGTCGATCTGGAATATGCAGATGACAAGAGGAGGAGCAGGCGCAACCATACTTGGACGAACTGACCAAAGTCATTATGTCCTTTGGTATGCACTTCGCATTCACAAAATGTAAGTTCATGCTCCTGGACATGCACTCACTGAACACATCTTTACAATCCAGGGAGAAGCACTCGAAGTTTTACGTATATTGGACGTGTCAGTTCCAACATTAATGTGACTGATGAGGTCAGTGCATGAATCTGCAAAGGTTCGCGTTTGCTAATTAGAGATACCTAAGGCGTCAAGGTGGTGTATCCCTGAATCTCAAGGGACGTGTTCATCAAGCTACAGTGCCTGCTGTTTTATTGTATGGCTGTTCGGGTAGCGGAACTGAGACGTTTTCAGCTGTACGAAAATCGTTGTCTTAGAACCATTGCTCGTGTGGGTTGGTGTCGGCGTATTCGTAACGAGGCAGTTAGGAGGCGAGTCTTCGGTTGTGCCACAGGTACTTCCACTGAAGAATGTGTCCAGCACCAGAAGCTGCGTTGGTTGGTATATATGTTGCGTATGCCTAGCCATCGTTTGCCGAAGAGAGTGCTGTTTTCCATGCCCAACTCAGTGGCGTAAACAGAGAGGTGGCCAACCCTTGACTTGGCAGAGGAGTATGAAGGAGATCACGAAACGCTTGGATGCTGTCGGTGCTACTCGCCTTCCAGGATGGGGACCGCGTGATCCTCACTGTGCCTGGTTGGAGACACTACAAGATATGGCTGCCAACCGATGTTAGTGGCGTTCTCGTTGTCAGTTTCTGTTCAGATTGCCTGAGTGAATGTCTGGAGGTGTAGGCACCTCGGAATGATTGTGTTAAGCCAGCACCAAGTCCCTCCCCCATCCACCTTTATTTTTTTCTTAACAATAAGGCTCTCAATTAAATCATGGTTGTACGGCAGTGAAGCATCGGTGTTGACACACTGATGTCATACTGTCGATGATAATGATGATGAATTTCGCGCCATAGGTGTTCGGGGTTGTTGAAAAGCTGTTCTGGTCTCCCTGATTTGAAGTGGTTCCATTTTACGCCAGACGACTGTGATGACTACTTTAGATTATAACAGCGTCTCCTGTATGTAATGGACGCTACTCTTGTGGTATCTCGAACTATGCTAGGCCCAGTACCTGTGTCTGAAGCTGACTCGGCGTACATGTTGACCACATCGTATCTTATCGATCCGTCACGAAAAGACTGGACCTTACCGTGGTGTGACGGTTTGCGCACCTCAACGATCCATTGAGCTATACTGGAGAGTGTCCCGCGACACTCACAGAGTCTCTCATACCAGGTTGGTCAATGGTTAGAGGTCTGACGAACAC